CGCCCGCGCCCCCGCGTCACCACGCGCGTGCATCGGCAGATGGCTACAGCCATCCCGGTGCCGCCTGGGGACATGGGGAGAGCGAGAGCCTCACGCCGCCCCAGCCGCCCCACGCTCCGTCTTGGCTCTCAAGGTGTAAATAAGGAGGAATCTGGTGTCTGCGGGGTATGCACCCCGCTGCCCCGGGCGCCGGGGGTGCAGGAGGGCTCGCCTCTGCACAGCCGCCATCTGCAGAGCAATAACTGAACAGAGGAGTAGGAAGGAAAAGGAAAAAAAAAAAAAAAAGAAAGAAAGAAAGAAAAGAAACATTTGAAATCTTGTGTTTCTAGTATTCAAGTACATGAGATTCCTAAAGAACAACTTGTCCTCCTAGTTAACCTTGTCCTGGAATATATACAGGTTATTTGTTGCGGCCACGGCAATGATATTCTCGGAGGGGTGCCAAGCTGTATGCAGGATCTTTTTGCTAAAGTCCAGACTGTCCACGCTAATTTCGTCTTTCCTCCGCTTGCCGCCCACGCAGACCTTGCGGGGCTTGAGGATGGCGCGGGGTTTGCTGTTCTCCCGCGAGGCCTCCAGCGTCACGTCGCGCTTGGTGTTGCGGTCGAACATGCGGAAGAAGTTGTTGTAGGAGCCGGTCATGATGACGCTGCGAGGAGGGGAGGGAGGACGGGTCACCATGTGCCACCTCGGCCCCCGCTGCCCCGCCAGCTGCGATACCCCGCGCCTGCCCAGCACAGACCCCCCGGGGCAGCAGGGAGCTCGTGCCCCATCCTCTGCCAAAGGGCTCAGGCTCGGCCAGTGAAGCCCCATCCCCGTGTCCTTCTCCTCCTTAACCCGGGGAACGTGCATGGGGCAGGCAATTAGCAACACGTACGGAGATCAGCCTTCATGGGAACTATGTAGCTGACCCGAACCGAGTGATTCTCGCACCTTTTTAGAGGCAAACTGCCTCGTGGCTAGAGGCAGACTCAATATCCAGAAGTACAATGAGATTTGGATTAGATATGAAATTTGGGCTTCAGGCCCAGTTGTGCCTCGCTAACTCACTCTGATGGTTCAGAGATAAAGATGTGGCAATCCTGCCAGGTCAACTAGTCCTGCGTCCTTCCTGCCACCTGGCTCAGTGCGATTTATGCATGGATAGCTGTTATCCCCAGGTTTTGGCAATCTGGAGCCAAACACGTCATCACCCTCCTCCGGGTGTGGGTGAAATGGAGACGGGAACCCAACCCATCCAGGATTGCACCGGGACCCCATCAGACACCCTCAGCAGCACCTGGGTACGGGGCTGTGGGGTTAGGTGATGCCCTTTGTACCCCCAGAAAAACTCTCCAGACCCCACACCCAGCCAGGGAAGGGACCATGGGGGGATGTGGGAGCTGCCGGGCCATCCCGAAGCGTGCACCCTCTGGGCCGAACTCGTCAGCCGTGGGGCTGGGTGCGGGCTGGAGCCGTGCCGCCGGACCGCTCACCTGTCGGACCCGTTCCAGACGCACTCGAACTTGTCGAAGATGCAGTCGTTCTCGTAGAGCGAGCAGAGCTTGCTCCGCAGGTAGTCGTGAACCTGCCGGCAGGGAGGGACGGCGCGCTCCCCGCAGCTGAGCCAGGCAGCGCCGGGCACAGCCCGTTGTCGCACGCCCTTGGCCATGGCCATGGCCACGGCCACCCTTCCACCGCAAGCGGCAGCAGCACCGCTTCACGTGCAGCTTGGGCAGTGCCAGGCAGCACTGGGGCACGTTCCCAGGCAGATGGTGGCAAGGACCACTGCCCTGCCTCCCACATGGCCATCCCGGCCACCGGCACCTCAGCATCCCCTCCTCACCCACACCCAACCTGGGGATGGGGGTTACAATTCACCAGGCCACCGAAGCCCACATTTAGCAGTTCTTTGTTTGCTTTCCATGATTTAATGGCACATTACTCCCATCCATCGGGTTCGTACCTATCCCCCTGCCTCGGGCAGGAGCCCTGCAGGTGCTTGACTGCTGCAGGCGCCCAGCCATGCCACGCTCACCTGGTAGGTCTCGATGGGCCGGTTCTCCATGTTCAGGTCCCACACCTTGACGGTGAGGTAGTCCCGGGTCATGATATACCTCCCACTGTGGCTGAATTTGACATCGGAGATTGAGGAGATGATCTCAGAAAAAAACGACCGGTTACTTGGGTCTTCAGGCTCTTCAAAAACTGTGGAAGAGGAAAGGACAAATCCCAACATCAGCTGAGGCAGGAGCTCCCTGTCCCCAGGCCAGGGACCTGCCGCCCTGTCCTGGCACCGCAGGATACCCCACGGCAAAGGAGGCTTCAGTTTGGCTGTGGAGACCTACAGACGGCACCGAGCCGGCGTCCTGGGGCCACCACTGCCAAACCCCAAACACCCTCCAGCCCTGGAGCCACCAGCCCCACACACGCCTGTATTTTAAAGACTTTACTTGGCACAGTTGAAGCTCCTTTGTTTTTAATGCGTGCGATAAGCAAGAAGGATCATCGGAGACCAATCTATCAACAGCACCACAGAAGCCCAGAAGATTTAGAGCTTTGCATATTGCTTTGGCTCTCTAGAAATCAATGTGCAGCATAACTGAAAGTCAATGTAAATATTTTATAGCCACTGCAACCTGCAGATTTAATCTGATCAGTGTTTGAATAAATCACAGTTTGAACAGTTTGAAGGAGACCGATGAAGTTCCAAATTAAATGTATTTACAAATTTGATTTCAAAGTAACATCAGCTGGGCAAGTATGGCTTTAAAAAAATGTCAAAGAGCTACATCAAGAGATGCTGCCGACACGGGGACATTCTCTTTCCACCTCTACAGCCACTCTCAAGCGCAGCATTGAAGGAAACTGCTGGGTAACATGGAGAAGCTCGCACCGCTTCACTTCTCTACTGGAGAAAAACCCGTTTGCCAGCTGCATGTCTCGGACCCTTGTCCCCAGCACCGAGGCTCTGCTACGACCCCTCCACTGTGGTGGCTGTTGGCTGCGACCCAGCGGTGGCCAGAGCAGGGGATGTGCCAGCAGCCGGCCCGGCTGCTCCGTGCCCCGGCGGTGGCGTGCCCTGCACAATGCCGCACCGAGCACCGGTGTTTGCTCAAGTTTATCATCCTCTCACTGAGCCCTGTGGTACCAACGCCTGAACTCCTGAGAATGGTGGGGAAAAAAAGCCTGAAGTGCCAGTAGAAATGATCCCTCTGCAAATCAGAAATAGCGTTGCCCACAGCAGGACCCAGCTCTGGGTCCTTTAATCACCAGCAGGAAATCTGATGACATGTCAGATTTTTTAAATAAGAAAAGCGACAGCAACCAGAGAAAATAAAGATCTGAGGCGGTCTGCGGAGAGCATCCGAATGCCGCGACTTGTCTTCGCTGTAATCATCACAGGTTTGCTCACCCCAGGTCGGCTTGGCTTCGTGAGCCTTGTTTTAATGGCTGCGTCGTTTCCATCACGGATGCATGTGAGCTTGTGTCAGGGCTGGAGGTGTTCGGTTTAACAGTACAGGGGCAAGAGGAAATGGTTGCTGATATGGTAGAAGTAGAAAATGTGAAATTTCAGATCAGCTAGCAAACAGGAAAGCCCTCAGAGCACGAACCCAAGAGCTAAGGCAGCACCGAGACCAGTCAGCGAGGGTGCGACGGCAGCGGTGCGACGAGGGCTGGGAGCAGCGCCCTGACGCCGGGCACCACGTTCCCCTTTTTAAAATCCAGAGCAGCTAAGAGGTGAAGTCCGGTATGGGTTAGCTGCATTTGCCCTGCGCCGTCTCCCTGCCTGTCGTATTAGGGCTCTGATAGTGGGATGCAAAAACCAAACCTACCAATGCAAAGAGCAATCGTTCAAACGACACTTCTGGGGACGACCCCCCTCCCGAGCTGCTGCCCCCGCGCTTGCCCTGCGCTGGAGCATCCCTTGGCCAAAGGACCCTCTGCCCGGGCAGCTTCAAAGCAAATGTTTTTTTTTTTTCACTCATCAATAAATTTAACACCCATTCAAGTACTGCCTTTTCTTTCTCACTCCTCATTTAAACTCTAATCACAACAAGTAGCAACGCAGACTGGAAAACCGAAAGCACAGCGAAGCAGCACCGCGCCGTCACCAAACCCAGGCTGGGGCCGTGGCTGTCCCTGGGGGTCCTTCTCCGGGCTCAGTGTCACCTCCCAGCTCAGCCCCAACACCCCCCTGTTAGAAGCGGCTGATTCACCAGGTGGAAGTTTGGATTTCAGATGAAGACAGGGGAGCGTTGCAAAGGCGCAGAGGTTTCCTGCTTTGCGAAATGAGCTCGGGGTGGCAGAAGAGGCCTGTTCTTCACGCCCCCCGGAGATTTTGCGCAACCAACTAGTTAATTCTTAGCTTGAGGTCTCGCCAGGCCTATTATTCCGTGCAGCAGGACACCGTTAGCTCCTGCAAGGGGTCAGAAGGAGATGATTAGTTTTGCGGGGGGGGTGACACTACCAGCTCAGCTCTGCTCCAGCCAAAACCTGGGACAAGAGCTCAGCTCAGCTCAGCTCAGCCCGCAGAGTCCCAGTGCTAGGCAGGACTGGCTTTGCCTACACAAAGAACTGAGTTCTCTAACAGGGAATCAGATCTCTGTTCTCTGCTTATACACCCTTTTTCCTCTATAAAAGCTGAAAAAATAGGTGAAGGGAACACGCTGTTAGCAGGAACACAGGAGTGCGTGTGTTTTGCTGGAGCCTGGTGTGGCTTTGCAAGGTTGGCACTCTCTCGTTTCATCCCTGCCTGGGCCAACAGCATGCGGGGTATGTGGCTCCGAGCCTCTCCTCTGAGCTGGCAAAGCTGATTTCCAGGGGTGAGGCCAAGCCTCCCCAGGCATTTAGAGGACGCCTGCTAGGCAAGCGGCAGGGTCACCTACTGGCAAGGCCAGACCATCACCCGGCACGCTGCAGACAATAGCACCACGGGGGGCACCTCCCCAAACCCACACATATAGGTCAGAGAACTTAATTTAGTCCAGATGTGGCTATTTTACCCCAGTACTCAACTCTCTTGGGAAAGACGCAGCTAGCAGAGCCCAGCTCCCCTCTCTCTCCTCCTCCTCCTCTCCCCCTTTTGTGCATCCTGAGTTTCAGGTGGCACCAGATGACCCATTGCATTAAGTGACTTGTCAGGGAAAAGGACTTCGGATCAATCAATCCAAGCTCTGCTTGAGCGGGAGAGTCCTACAGGACAGCTGCTCCCTGCTGAGCTTTTGGAGCATTACTGGGACTGGCCACCAGCAAGCACGCTGGGTTTAACTGGCGGCTGTGTTTCAGCAAGGGTCTGTATTAACCTGTACGAGACGAACCTCCTCCGACAGGGCACCAGCACCGGCAAAGCCACGTCACCATCT